CGCGTCGAATGATATACTTTTTGTTCGGGTCAGGTCAGCTTAGGGTGTTGACCTCAGGTCAAGGTCAGGTCAGCACCCCCAGGTCACGAAGCTGGTCGAAAGAGGTCATGTCGCATATCATTCGATTTGGCAGGTCTTCCTAAGTCCATTGGTGGCTTTCCCGACTCGCTAGCTCAATTTGATGAAGAGTTATTGACGAAAAACTAATATGACCTTGATGACGTCATAAATGACGTCACGCAAGGCAAACATTGCAAAAGTGACGCATCTAACCTTGCAAGGAGTGCATCAAATCACGATTCTGTGTGCTTAAGATAGTTGGAGATCGTTCCCGGCGCCAGAATAGCAGTTTTCATTTTTCCCCATTGACTTATAATGGTGAGGTCACGAAAATGACCTGACCTCATATGACCTTTAGGAAAAATCCGAGATATACAACTTATGAGACTCATAATGGATACTAGATCCTGCAAGTTTCATTTCCCTGTGACATCTCTTCTGGCAGTGAGGGCGTTGCGAAGTTGCGACATCTGAAGACCGTGCAGAGGTTCACTTATGACGTCGTAGGTCAGTGACCTGCCCTGACCAAAAAATGCGGTTGGTGTCAAAAGATCCGGCTTGAATCAATGATCAGGTGTGCCAAGTCTCAGCTCTCTATCGCCAGCGTGTTTAGAGCTATCGCGAAAAAAGCCTATGGGGGGGCGGCACCCGCCCCCCCCCCCCTCGGCCGGCGAGGGTTAAGCACGTCTTTTTACGTCAAACAGTGAGCCGGTCATGAGGTGAACGTTCAGTGTTATGATGAAGCAGCTGGAATTGGTTTGTTCTGCAGCGGTGCCTCTCCATGGATGAGCACGTGACGGGTGACGGCGCACTTTCTACAACCACCGCCGTCCTACAGACAGAGCGCATGGTCCGGGTTGTGCCACCCTGCACCGTAGCGGGGAATCACTTGCAGTCTTGGGCGTACACTGTAAAAAAAGTTTAGCATTTAGGGTACTAGCGGCTGCTATTCGTAGCACCTTTTAGCGTCAAAAGAACCCTACGACGTATTTACAAAGAAGCATGGTGCTAATACTGTGCTAATGATAGCTAACATTACCATCAAATATTATAAGTTTAGATCACCTATTCTTCTATTGAGCTTAACGTCTACTTCTGCTAGTACCCAGTCCATCAGTGAGTGCTCTTTCAAGCTGGATTTCTAATTAGAACCATTTTAAGTGTTTTAGAAGTTGGTAATGCTGAATATGGTGCTTACGTTAGTATCATAATAGAACCGGACATGCTTACAGAGGAAACAAATTTGAAATTGGCGCCAAAGAAAGTAGCTAAGCCCTGCTTTACAAATCTCTGGGAGTCTTATCACCAGCCCTTTAGCACGTTTTGACGGCGCAGAGCGATATGCGCATGCGCGTGCCAGCTGTTTCCGGCCACGTGTTGCGCCATTTTAGTGGAGTCCGTTGGTCGTGGTGGGAGTGTGTGCACGTGCTCCGGTATATGAAGTGAAATGAAGTGAAGTGAAGTGCTCCGGGCACATGCCACCGAGTGATAGCTCTGGAATGATAGCTTAAATCAGCTATTATCGGTGGAATCCGTCGTGCGTGGCATGGGAGTGCGTGCCCCTGTTCCGGGAGGCAGTGAGGTGGAGGGAAGTGCAGTGCAGCAGTGCAGTGAAGTGAAGTGCTCCGGGGCCGGGTGGTACATGAGCATTTGCCACCGACACATGCCACCGACACCGACGTTGATCGACTTTGGTGAGTCTGACACGTTGTATCTTTTGACATTATCTTATATTGTTTAAGTGCTTCATATTCCGACTTTGGCAAATCGCGCTTCTTGGTCTGAAGGAAAGTTGTGTTGTTTGCGAAAATAGCTCCCAACAGAAAAAAAAATCTTGGAACTGATCCAGTTTTTTTTTTGCTCCAGGCATGGGGCCTGGTCAGTTCTTCCGTCGACTTCCACTTACAATGGAGGACAACTACGACAACAACACGGGGTCTCCGGTTCCGTCTATCACTAAACGCCGTCTGGTCGTGGATGAGGTCGAACTTATGGCCATGAACGGAACGTCGGTTCAACGACCCCCCCCCCGCCTCCCCCAGTCGATCTCGCGTTAATCGTCGGTCACTGCGAGTGTGCAGGTGTATGAGCGACTTTTCGTTATTTCCCGTGCGTTTGTTTGTGTATATATTTACATTTGTTTTTTCATGCAGATGATATGAAGTGTTAATAAATGTTCCATTATTATTTTTTAATTTTATAATGTGTTGGATGCTTGAAAGATGCACTTACACGGGAATATTGCAGAATGCAAAACATAATCATTGAGACTTGTAGTTATCACTTATCTATAGGATATAACCTTTTTTGCACGTCTTTTCGGCCTTACACAATTTCCTTTTTGGTAATTGATTAGTCCTTTTGCAGTAACTAGTGAAAGTATGTGCTGCTAAAGAAAGCAGTTTTTGCGAACTTTTCATGCAGCAGCTTTAACTAGTATAGATATTCTACTTTCAGCCCCAATGCTTTCGTTAGCATTGTTCTACTTGTCGTGGGGTAACAATAGCGCTAAAACGGTTCATATGTGAGTACGGAAGGTACTAACTGCATGCTATTCTTAGCACCTTTTAAAGTTTAGCACCGCTAGGGTACTGAAAATTGGTCTAGCAGGTGTAGGGTACTACATTTAGTACACGGGTGCTAAACAAATATGGGTACTTATATTAGCACCTTGATACTAAACTAGATCTCAGTTAAGTACGAATAAAATGCTTAGCTTAGCACCGCTAGGGTACTGAAAATTAGTCAATTGAAAAGTACCTCTATGGTGCTAAACTTTTTTTTACAGTGTATTATTTTACCAGGCGAGATGGCTTTTTTCACTTGCCAGCGTATTTGCCAGGCGCTCGCTATCAATCCTCTTGTGATAATGGGCCTGAGCTAGGAGTTGATATAGCATGCCAAAAGCAAGGTTTACTCTTAGGGATCGTGGCTAATTGAAGTTTGGGCACACATTCTAATATCAAATTTTATCTTCCGACCTCACTCATTCGTATAGTTCAAGACGAGGTATATTTTATGTAAATAATTGCAGTAGTATGCTACAGGTGTTTTTGTATCAACTTTAAAATGAATGTATATTTTCCACCTGCCCGGGAACAATGGTCACATGACTATCGTCCTCTGAGCCACCGGAAGGCGGTCCCACTATACTCACGATGACCATCTGGTCACGTGACCACCGTCCCGGAGCCGGCCGGACCCCACGAACCCGTCTCCTGACACGGTGCCAGGAGCCCGTGTCCCGTCTCTTCTCTCCATTGCGACACGGAAATACAACGTCCGGAATAAATTCAGCGGTAGCCCCAGAAAGAAAGAGAGAGAGAGAGAGAGAGAGAGAGAGAGAGAGAGAGAGGGGGGGGAATTGAAATTATCTAAGAGATTATCTTAGCGTGTGAGGTATGCCGCTGATGAATAACATCAGAATAAGGTGCATTGTATAGCGATTAGCGATGCACCTGGCATGGTTGCATGTTTTCATTTGCTTGCTATCTCTACATGCAAATTGCAAGGAGATGGTAAAACGTGAATTCGGAAAGCATATCCTTATCTCCGTGCATACTGCACATGTTTTGAGCCGAGACTCTGTAGCCTGTATGGTATACTCGTAATCCCTCTCTCCAGATCCACGAAAACATCTTCGAGAGTCCGAAGACGGGATAGCCTCACACGGGAAAACCAGCCACAAGTGCAGGCCGTCGCGAGCGCGGGCACCCCATCGCGCGTCATCTGTTCCAGGATCGACCGAAATAATTGCTTGGCTTTCCACGTTCCAGTAACCATGAAGCAGAACCCTCCCGCCCTATCAAACCCAGCGACCCGTCGGCGACCCGTCTGCCGCCCACGTGACCGCCTGTATGGCAGCGGCGGCCTGGCACGGCTCAGTCACGTGGTACAGAGGTGAAACGAGGCGCCGCCCCGCCGCCGCCGACGCTCTAGTGAAACACGGAAGCCACTTTCCACTGGCGTTAACTGTAAAAACGACGCTGGCACCGCGCCGGGGAACGACCTGTGAGCAGGCGTCGCGGCGGGGGGGGGGGGGGGGCGGCGGTCGCGGCCCGGCGAGCGACACGACGAAGAAAGCTCCGTCTATAGCACATGGGAGTCAGCCGGGCGGGCCGCGGGGAGGGCAGATAATGTGGGATAGCGGAGCTGTTAGTTCCGCCGCCGGTGGCCATTCATACCGCTGTTTGGATGTCTGGGGCACTGGACTATTGCGAAAACCGGTTTGTGCTGGGAGGAGTGGCTTGGCAGGAGTAAAACGACTTGTTCCAGCCGCAGGCTTTGGGAGCGGTAAACGTGAATAGGAAACTGATTGTTTCATGCTTGGTGTGCAGGTGCAGCCAGCAAAGGTCAAAAGAACGAAAGGTATCCCGCTCGTTTATCCTCGAAGAAAGGAATATTGAGAAAGAAAGGAATATTAAACATCACAAGCATGCTTATCATGTTTAATTTTATGTTCATAAATCATAATATTAAAGTAAAAAGTTGAAGCGCAATCAATAAAATATTTACATTAAAAACACACATTAAAAAAGGCTCTACATAATCATTAATTATGCCTGAACCGACCCGATATCAACTTTAATGCTTTATAACAAGATTGCAAAATTGACTGTTCAACTCTTCATTTTGTCGAGCCGACGAAGTGTGAAAGAATAATTTCAAAGCCTTTCAGGTGTCATAACAATTGTACACACCGCATAGCTCGCATAATAAGACATTATGTGGTCATCACTGTGTAGTTCTTCTTTAACGTTGAAAATCTGAAATAGTCAATGCATTTATTGCATTGAACCGCTAAGAAATTTCATATTATTTGCTACTAAACACCCATTAAGCCTTGGTTAAGACTTATTACTCATATTTTAGCACAGGGAGCCGCCGGTCATCTCTCAGTCCCGTCCCGGTGCCCTCCCCCGTCACAGCTCAAATCTCACCTGTGTCGTATGTTTCCTGACTGGGTCCCTCCCCGCTGTGTGTGCGTCCTGTGCCCTCGGGTGGCGCTCTGGGTCGTCTCGGTGGCCGGTGCCGCGGTCCCGCTGCTCGATACCGTTACAGTAATCGGTCTGTTTGTCCGGGTCGGGACTCGGTGCGGTGCAGTGGCGCGGTGCGCTGCCGGAGACTGCGGGAGATCACGACGGACTAACCTCAGCCGCGCGCCGCGCCGGCACCGCTCGACGGAAAGTCTACCGGCGCCCCGCACCGCCGCCTGGCGGAGAAGGAGGGAACTGCAGCGCGGCTTATGGAAATAGACTTTTACCGGACGGTTCGGACGGTTATATAATGTACGCATTGTATGCAGTGGCAGCGACAGGATGTGTATGTACGAGGAATTCCGTCTAGGGGCGCTGCACACAGAAGGACAGCTTAGTTTTGACAAAAATGACGCACGCCCACCAAGCCCAGAGACGTCCACTGAGATTGTTCAGGCTGGTTCGAAGAGGCTCGTGCGTCGGTTCGGTTCCGCCTACTGTTTTACATTCACATGTCAGCGAACCGGTGACATAACCCTTGGTTCGAAAGGAAATACTCGGCTGATTCATTAAACTACCATTGAACAGGTGTTCAGGCGCACGCACCCTTCCGGGATCAATTTACAACACGAGCGCAGCGTGATTGATGAGTATGCAAATGATGAATTATTAACGAATGATGAATTAGAGTGCAGATTGTGGTAGCTTTAAATGAATATGTATTGTATAAACTGCGAATGGACGGCATCTAGTCTGACTTTTCTGTTCTCGATTCCAAGATATCAACCCCTTTGCACTTACATAGAAGAAGACGCCGAGACTGGTCAAAACAACAAACCGTTTATCATTTTTGGATCCACTTCATTTCGCGAGTGACCTTGTTTTCGGCGTGGATATGGCTTTCACTATTGATGGATCGGAGGGCCGGCCGGATCACCGACGGAAGGGTGAAGGGAGTGTTGTGAGCCTCAGCCCGGGGCGGCTATAACCGCGCCCGAGGGCGCACAGGTGGTGGACACGGAGTCTCTGAATGCAGGCTAATGCCGATTTAGCCTCATGATGGAATCGACTCTAAATGGGCGCGATCAGTCTGACTGGACTTTGATGAGCCGGGACGTCGTAAACGGCTGTGTTTTCAGTGACTCAGGCAGGCGCGGGCTGTATCTGATGATCGTCATAGCCGGAGGGAGACGTGCGCGTAAAGCAGATTTAAATGACGAAAGAACACATAAGATATAAGTGGCGCAGAGTGCAGACAACGCCCTTTGATCCCAGTAAGCTAACTGAGGTATGTTTGTGCAAACAGGATTTAGAAGGGACTGAGGAACAGTTGGCTATATCATTTCATAGTTATACGTAATCTAAGAACGGACATAAAACGTATATTTCAAACGTACACACATATGTAGGTGTTTTGTGTATGAACTTGATGCATTAACCCAAGCCCGTTTAACCAAAGGCAATGCTTCAAAGCTTAAGCAGCGGTCTTTATATTCAGTTAGCTTTGAATAAAAAATACATGAAAATTTATTGAAGCCCTATCATAAATGCACGATTTTATGATTGAGCATGCCGCATGGTTTTAGAACGTACAAGGAAACAATCTTGGTTATGTAAAGTTTAGAATGGCTTTCAAAATATATGTGAGTGATCAATTTTGACGTAACAGTTCGGTAATGCGCATGTGGTTCCGGTTTTTTTACAGCCCTGACGGATGAACAAAAGGTCGGATAGCCCTGAATGTCTGAATTTATATATGAAAACAGTTGGAGTAATACATTATACGATTACTATAATCTTTGAATCGCTTTGGTAGACGGATCCAACAAGAATATCAGGATATGTTTTATGACATGCATATGGGTATGGAATTCATGCAAACTCTTTAGGTAAAGTTTTCCATAACGTTGCGAGCTCAAGTCTGGTGAAAACAGGAACTATTCATTTCAGTACCGCATTCTTCTGCTTCAGCCCTCAGCTTTGTTTCTTGCAATATTCTCCCTTTATTTTCTTCTATTTTACGTCTCTAATTCATGCTACCATGGAAGATATTCAAGAGTTGTTAAAAAGGTACCTAAGCATTAAAAGTAAAATGACTTGACAGTGGACACACTTCTTATAACTTACTTTATATACTTAAAAGTGAACACCAACTTTATGTGCATTTTAACCCAACGTTTTCCATGTAGTTAATATATATTTAAAAGCTAAACTTACATTTTACCTTTGAACTGGTGGTATACCTGACTCAGAAGCTAAGCTGGCCAGGCTATAAACCCATTGTTTATGCATCCTAATAACTGGTAGCTGCGTAACAAGACATTGATTGGGCGAACCAACTGAAACCAAAGTTTTTACCGCGGGCACGCACAAGGCAAACAGCCACTAGGGCCGGTCCATGGGCTGTCAATTAAGCCCTATCTCATCGTTGGCTGTTGGCAGTTGGTTGCCGCCAGCCTGGCGCACAGAACCATGGGACGGGGGATGGTGTGGCAGCGTGCTGTTATTGAACACACAGCTCATAGGCTCAGAACCAGTTCACTGCATAGCAGCGAACGTCCAACTAAGAGTACAGAGAAATCTGAAATATGGAACCTGGCAGCGACTCTGAATAACTAGAATTGACACAAGGCTCACCTAAAATGGTGTTTCGCGGGCCGCTAATGCTAATTTGGACTGGTGCTCCGTGCTAGTGAAACGCGACGTAGTAGGTAGTAGGTACTGCAGGACCTGTACTGAAATGGTGTTACTCTATGTATATGCTATGCCGCGGTCTCTACCCATTTTGGTGCTATTGGCGGGTGAACTAATGAAGTTTCCATACTGAACTGGTGCTACTGTTGTGTGTTTTGATGCAGTCTCTACCCATTTTGGTGCTAGTGCCGTGTGAACTATTGAAGTCTCCGTACTGAACTGATTGTACATACTGTTGTGTGCTTTGATGCAGCTACTATCCAGTCTGGTGTTAGCGACGTGGGACGTATTGTAGTCTCTGCATTGAAATGGTGTTACGGTTGTGTGCTTTTCTGCAGTCGCCACCCAGTCTGGTGCTTTTGTCGCGTGGGTTATTGCAGTCTCCATTCTAAACCGGTGCTATTGTCATTTTTCATTTTCCATCTAGCATCATGCTAATATGTAATGAGAATATGTGCAGATACTGTCTATATGTATATGTAGATCAGCTATGTGGCAGAATATGTCTACTGCTCTATGCGTCTTTTTTTAATCTCACATTTCAGTCTCCCTTTTGGTTTGTGCTGATGCGGACACATACGACATCTGAGTCCTGCTCACTCAAATACGGACTAGCACGCACTCAAACGCAAGGGAAACAACGCAAACTTACGCCAACACATGCATAATTCAATATGCATTGGGCATATAGCATACTAGCACATACCACCACAATCCACACACTTTGTTGCCTACATGATACCTCCTGGCCTCACTGTCCCACCTCTGACCGTCACGCGCCGGTAACGCCTGACCGAGGAAGCAGCGGGCACCGTATCCGCCACTCTGACCTCGCACTCACACGGGTCAGGCAGGCGGCTCGGGCCCGCTGCTGAGGTCGACCGGGGCGCGGCACAGTGGCTGACCCGACCGTGACCCGGTATCTGGTTGAAACTGGTAGAAACCGGCTCCTTGAAGGGGTGCGAGGGGAGGGGATACACAGAAGCGCTTGGGTCAGGCCAATTATAGGAAGATAGACAGTCTATACGTATCTCCTATTTAGTACTCTTATTTTTAGCATCTTTATAGATAAATGACATGTGAATACCAACAGGCAACGCCTGTCTGTTCATTTATATATAATGCGTTTCGTTTCGGTGCTGATACTGATACCGACACAGGTGCCGTCAGAAGGACAAGTGTCGACGACGGATGGTTCGGTTCGAACCGGCCTCGCTCCCATGTTCTAGCCCCAGGTGAGTCCTGACTTCACCGAATCGAGCTATGCCAGCCCAGTGCCACCGGCTCCTGTCCCTCCCCCAGCCCTAGCCTACATACTAAGACTCTAAAAGGCAGTTTGGCTGCCCTCCTTCAGCCCCAGCACGACAGCCCCACTAGTCCCTACCCTCTCGCCGACTCCAGGTCTGCCGTCCCGACCCCACTACACTGACCGCCGCACCGGCCCGACCCCGCCGACGAACTGGGCCGACGTCTGGCTGTAGCCGGTCACCAGCCGGTTTTCCAGCCGCAGCCCGCCGACAGAGGTCACAATGCACGTGACATAGGACAGCGTAACTGTCATCAGAGTTCACCTCAGCGCGAGAAGAACTCTGGACGTCGCACTGAGTCTAACAACTAGAGCATCAAACGCCCACATCGCGAGGTAACCTCGCTCGTTAACAGGCAGGTGTAGCGCGATGTCGCAACGCCGCTCTTCCGGCGAGTTTGTCTGAGGCACAGACGGGAGCCCCGGGACGTAAGCGCACGAGTACAACTTTCATTCAGAGGGTCAGTCAACCCGGGGCGACGGCGGCGGACGCGGCGCAGTGGGTCGAATACTGACGCAGCGCTCCCGGAGCCGGATTCGACGGTTACTCGTACATAGGCACATCGGTGACCCGGAGTCAGAAGTGAGCGCCGATTCCGAGTAATCGAGCGGTTCTTAGCAAGGGATGTCACAGCATAAGATCTACGGAACTCATTGTGGGGGCAGGGCTGGGTTCCGGCTTATCTAAAAGGAAAAGTGATTCGGCAACCGACTAACGAGCACTGCGCAGAAATTAGCTCCGGATAGAAGAATGCCAGCGCTGACGTAGGTATACAATTATAAGTAGCTCAAAACATCCAACTTCTACGCTCTCAGCTTATAATACGGAAAGAGCTTTCTAGCTTTAATTTGCATTCTTGGGATCGGCTTTCACACCGGGATGCATGAAGCAGCACTGATGAAAAACGCCAAAAACACTGGTGTAAGACAGGTAGCCGTCTCGCGAAACGGACGCACAATGGAGGACGATTCCGCCGATGCGTCAACGCCGACAGTCGCGGCACCGAGCGAGACAGCGCGGTGTCGCGTGTATCATCTGCTCACAACATCCATCAGCAGACTGCCTGCCTACCTGCCGCAGACAGTCGGCACATCAAAGGAGCCGAGCGACACCCGCGGTCAGCCGGAGCCGACTGGGGGTTCCGGCGAGACATATGCCGGGAGAGAAAAACGGAACGGTCCTCTCTCCCTCTGTCTCTGCCTCTCAGTCTCTCCTCTAGTCTCTCTCTCT